GGGAGAGGGAGAGGGAGAGGGAGAGGGAGAGGGAGAGAGCTTTGTGGTGACTAGCTTGATGAGGACCTGTACGGAATACAAAGAAAGTACAAAGAAACCATAATTTTTGTTATTTTTTTAATGGTCTAATAGAGGTATAACTCCCTTCTCCCCCATCTCCAGATTGTGTACGAAGACCACATACTGTATCTCCCTCACGTCTATGTTTTGCTAAAGAATCATACAATGTGTTCACTGCATCAAAATTTGCACATCATGAGAAAAATACAAAACTTTCCATCACTGAACTCATTAGGGGAGGGGGAGTCGGCCACCCTTCCCTGTGAATTAAATGGTACACACATTCAGAGGCTTACGAATCCTAGAATAACAAAGCAGGTATATTCTGAACTCCCACTTGTAAAGAAAATTACTATGAAAGGAACAGAGCATGTAAAATGTTAGAACGCAGCCAAATTGATTTTCCGTTTTTCCATGAGCGGTTCAATATTCCCTATACTTGAAGCGGTCTACTTCCCTCTAATCTCATTAAAATGAATTCCCCTGTTTTGCTCTCCGCCACTGCTAAGTCCTTCTTAAACCTTAGGGGACTCCAGCCACATCAACCTTGCTGATGCCTTCTGCAGAGAAACAAACGTCACTCAGGGAACTATATTTATCCCGGCTGTCTTTGAGCTCCCCACCGCCTGCACTCTGCATCTCTGTCCTCTACTGTGCCATCAGTGGACAGTAGCCTAGCAGAGAACACCAGGAATGCAGAATCCAGAGGACCAGTTGACTTGCTTCTCACAGTCCCCATCTGCACAGATTTCCACATTTAGCAAACGTGATCATTACAACTTTGCCGCTGCAGAGCTATGATGAGGCTTAATTACTATTTGTAAGTTTTTGTGAAGTGCTTTCAATAATGCAAACTGCAGGAGTTGCAGAAGAATGAAGTATTGTTCTTACTATGGCTTACCAGGTGCCTCCTTCAGCACGGTGGGTAATTAGGCACTATCGTTACAGGGGACCTTTATCATACTAGCAGAACCATAGGCGTTACTGTTATCTGTGCAGAAAGGGAGCATAAGCTCTACAACCTCCTGGACGCCTCACCAACAACTGACTTTAAATCACTTGTAGAAAACAAGGAAAAAAGCGACATCTATACCATATAAAGTAATTCTGCCCTGTGCGATAATATAGTAGTGGTGGGGAACCTTAGACCCTGGTGCTGAACCTGGCCCTCTAGGGAGTGGAACCTGGCCTGATTGAATCCTGGTGTTGAATCTAACCACAAAATCGCTTTTGCACCTTGGAATCTCCTTTAAAGGTCAGAGTGTGGCTTCACCGCCCAACTGACATCAGAGCCACCAGCCTCCACTGCATAATGGGTTTCCCACCATCACATTATTCTGAAAGGTTGGCATGCCTTTTCTAAAGTTTTGTTTCTGGCAGCAAAAGTTTAGAAAAAAAAATACTGCAATTCCCCTTCTTTTGCCTCTGGATCTTCCCACCACTGGAAAGTAGGCACTGAAATCTTCTCTGAAGTGGAATGTAGTTCCCAACATTTCATAAAAAGTAACCACACAAGGCAGGACAGAGCTATACTACATACAAACAAAGGCAACCCCATGCTGAATTTTTTCTACCATCTTCTGAAACTCATAGTAGAACTTACCCTACAGTTGCAAACCTGTTGCTTAGTGTAGTAAGTTGAACTAGAGTAGGCTCTTTGGATCAGTGGGGATTTGGTGGGGCAACTCCTCCAGAAGTTCATTGATTCCAATGGGCCTAACTCTAGATGTAGCTTCCAGTGCTAAAGTAAGTTTTTACTAGAATAGGCCCATTGGAATCAATGGAACTTATGGAGGAGCTGACCCACCAAATCCCCACTGATCTAATGGGCCTACTCTAGTACACCTCACTACACTAAGCAACAGGATTTCAGCCTATATCTCCCAGCACAGTCTCACACGATGCATTTTCCAACCCTCTCTGTAGATCTTTGGCTGTTACTGGCATGTACACCAGGCTACATTTCTAGATTTTCTTTTTTTGGCACAATTATTAATTATTCTTGGAGTCTATCTGAAATCAAAATACACTCCACATGACAAGGAATACAACATCCTGGATTTTGGTTCTAAATTTCAGCTGTGTGATGTTTATTATTTTCATTTCATTTCATTTTGCTTACTATTACAAGCCTCCAGTTCTACCATATTTCCTTTTAGGAATCTAAAAATGTAAGGGCCGTGCTCCATCAGACCATAGGGCCACCTAGTCCAGTGTTCTGTTTATACAACGGCCAACCAGGCAGCTGCAGGAAGCTCACAAGGCCATGAGCACCAATAGTATATTCCCACTTGTGTTCCCTCACAACTGGCATTCTGAGGCATACCCTTAGGATACTGAAAGTAATACATGGCCATCATGAGGAGTAGCCTTATCCTCCATTAATCTACATAATCCCCTTTCAAAGCTGCCCAAGTTGGTAGTCATCAGTTCGTCTTTCGAGGTCGGACGTCATCACAGCTATTCTGATTTTGGATTTGGCAGCTCTAAACAATGACATTGTGTTACATCCGAGCCAGTCACTGAGGTTCTTCTGCACCTCACAGGCGGTTCTCTTCCTAGTCCTTCTTTCCCCATTTATTTTACCTTGACCAATCAAAGTAATACCTTGAGCCTTCACAATCTGTACTTTTTCACTACTTGTTAAGTGTCCAAATTATTTTAGCCTTTTTCATTGTCTTTGCTTTATGAGTTTCTTCCTCTTCATTCGTTCTCCTTAACGTTTCTTTGTTAGCCACTCTATAGATCAAATAAACGCTGTGCAACTTGTACTAAACCCACATTTCACATGTTTATCTATTACAGACAAAAATAAAAAAAGAGACCACAATTTCACACCATACCAATTCCACATAAAGATCTAAGATTCCATTTTCATACAGTAGAACTGAAAACACACAGGGCCAAGCAACAAACATACTTGATGCCAATTTTAAGTTTTGATTCCATATTACATTCTGTAGGAACAGCCTGCTCAAGGTTGCTAGCTGTTATCTGCTCTCAGTGAAGAGCAAACTCTCCTGGCAGGGCAGCAGCTCCTGACGAGCGGGGTGACTCACTCGTTTTGCCTTTTCCCTTAGAGTTAGAGCATAACTCTCTCTGGCCAGTCCTAGTAGGGATCAGGCAACCAGAGTCCTATCTGAATCTTTTCAACCATCTCTGTAAGCTTGCTAGTTAATAAAGGGATTTCTCAGGGTGTCATCCTGGGGCTCCGCTGGTGGCAGGAACATCTGGGTGTTGACTTCTTTGCAACTTCTCCCTAAAGCTAATCGCCTTCTTTGTTCTGTGATCACCTTCATCATTAGCCTTTTTCGTTTTGTGAGCACCTACAACATTTCTACTTGGTAATAGCTGCTCCAAGCCCTTGTTCTGCTGTGTCTTATTCATGGCTATAATCTTACTGTTCATTCAACCAAGTGTTATCAACTCTTGCAGAATCACTACCATTTGTAAGCATTTATTGAGAATCTACCTTTCCATCTGCTGATCTTCTAAGAAGGCTATGAAAAGA